CCTGGTCTGGGAAGATCCCACATGCCACAGAGCAACTAAGCCCGTGCGCCGCAACTACTGGGCCTGCGCTCTAGAGCTCGCAAGCCACAACTACTGAGCCCCCACGTGCCACAACTACTGAAGCCTGCGTGTCCAGAGCCCGTGCCCTGAAACAAGAGAAGCCACTGTAGTGAGAAGCCTGCACACCACAACGAAGAGCAGTCCCAGCTCGCCGTAACTAGAGAAAGCCCACACACAGCAACGAAGATCCAACACAGCCAAAAATAAATAAATAATTAATTAATAATAATAATCATTTAAATGTAATCATCATCATGCCATCATCAGCATCACCACTGAAAAATACAAAACATACTTTCCTGTTTATCCTTAGAGATCATAATATACTCTGTAATTTCCACCTATATCTGAGTAAGTATAATTTCTGTAAATTCCATGATCTTAAGGGTTTTATCTAATTCACTACTGTACCCTTTAGGCCTAAACCAGTGACCTGTACATAGAGGGAGCTCCAAATATTTTTGTTGTTGAATAAATAAATCCATACATACATTTACATATATGTTAATATGGATTATTTTTCATGACTGTAGAATTTTACAAGGACCTATTTCCTTCATTTTAAGTGTAACTTTTGCACAATAACTTTGGAGCCAATTTCTGAAATTTATAATCCACCTCTTTTAATCCCTCCCTGTCCATTTTCATGTTCAATGAACTTATGTACTCTTTAATATTAGATTTTATTTTTTGTTCAAAGAAAAAGAGGTCATCATTTAATGTGTGTGTGAGACAAAAGGAAAATGAAGCAATGGCATCAGTGAAGCTCTACACTCTCCCAGTGTCAGTGAATGGTTTTTAATGGTCTGTGGATTCCTCCCTTCAGATTGAGTGTAGCTTGACTGGAAAAGGTGCTGAGGATGTTCTGGTCTTCCCTGGTTAGGACAACTCAATGCACAGAGTACGGTATGAGGTTTCACCCTAACACGAGAGGGCCCCCAGCACTTTCCTTCTGTGATCTTCCCACTCCTTCTATTAAATCAAAGATATCTTCTCACTGGTCCCTGCTCTCCTAGACTGTTCTAATAGAAATAGGGGCTTACTTCTCATTGACCATCATCCTTCTAAGACTCAATTAGAAGAGATAAGGGTGGAGTATAACTATTACTAACTCAATATATTTGTCTTACTTGCTGGGATAAGCTTAACAGATCAAACTCTATGATGATTAGTCATATCCTATAAACTATACAAACTTATTACTGATTCATATGATATTAATACCCAAATATACTTACTTTCAAAAGGCTATACATAGAAATATGAATTTTGCTCTATTTTTAAATTACTTTTAGTTTTAAACTAGATAATATATTTGCAAGATCCCAAAATCAAAACTTTATACAAAAATATACAATGAGAAATCTCCATCTCATCCTTTCCCACCTGACTGTACCCAACATCGGCCCTAATAGGTAGCAATTTTTATTAGTTCCCTGTACAAACGTCCAAAGTTTATTTAAACAAATAAAAGCAGATGCAAATAGGTATAATATAATGTGCTCAACATGACTAATCATCAGGCAAATGCAAATCAAAACCACACTGATATATCATCTCACACCTGTAAGAATGGCTATTATCAAAAAGACCAGCAACAACAGTGTTGGCGAGGATGTGGAGAAAAAGGGACCCTTGTGCACTGTTGGTGGGAATGTAAATTGGTGCAAATAGTACAGAGCTTCATCAAAAATTTAAAATAGAATTGCCATATGATCCAGCAATTCCACTTCCGGGTATTTATCCAAAGAAAATGAAAACATAAGCTTCTAAAAATATATGCATTCCTGTGTTCATTGCATCATTATTTACAATAGGCAAGATATGGAAACAATCTTAAGTGTCCATTGATGGATGAATGAAGAAATTGTGTTATAGATATACAATGAAATTATTATTCAGCCATATCAAAGGAAAGAAATCTTACCATGTAACAACATGGATGGACCTTGAGGGTATTATGTTTAGTGATATAAGTCAGAGAGACAAAGATAAATACCATATGATCTCACGTATATGCGGAATCTAAAAAAAAAAAGGAAAAGAAAAGACAAGCAAACTCACTGATACAGGAAACTGATTGGTGGTTGCTAGAGGTGGGTTGTTGAGAGAGTGAAATAGGTGAAGATGGTCAACAGGTACATGAAAATCTGACTGCAAAAGTCACAGGAAATCAAGGAAGTGCAAATTTAGACAATAATGAGATACCAGTTTGCAACCAATATACAAAATAAATTGTCTTGAAATACCAAGTATGGGTAAGCTTCGCATTGTCAATTCTGCCTAGAAATAGAAAAACCAATTTTGCTAATATGAGTTCATAGAATCTAAGTCTCAAAGCACAAAGCACAGTAACTATTTAATCAGATACTGAATGATTACAGAACTAGATATGTGGGAAGAAATTAAACCCATGATTTAAATTCTACTTAACAAATTCCCACTTACTGAAGGTTACTTTTATAATATATCCAAATACACAGTTATCATCTTTTTTCATTTTCTTCCTAACGTAAGCTAATACATTTTTAGCAGCTGAACACTCTAAAATCAAGAGGATTTTATTACAATTCTACAGGTTTGCTGATTTACTATGATGAAACAGTGAGAAAAAAACATAATTAGATTTAGTAGAAACAGCTATGAGATTGGATATTTATTATGGAAAAAAACTGAAGTGGGCTGACTAATTTGTCATACGGTTGAAAGTACATGAAAAGCAAACGCTAGGACTTGGAGGCATACATGACTGAATAGGTGAATGTGACTCATAGAAATTCAGGATCAGCCTTGTAATCCACAACTCTCAAGAAGTCAGGGGATACAGGTGCTGACTTGGCCCTCCCTGAAGGAAACAAATGATTTGACCTACCTTCCCAAAAACCAGAATAGATGTTTGCTTCCCTATACAACAGAAGAAAACTTTGAAAGAAATGAAACAGCTCATTAAAGTAAAACTTTTCAAGCACCAAGGTACTAATCCCATGCCACCTTAAATGTTAAATAACTAACAGTAGCAATACATCCCAAATACTAATTGTTCTATGGTTGTTGGAAAAAATATACTTTTTAAAACTCTACCATGGAGGTGATCGTGCTTTGGGATAAAATTATCCCTGGGCTCCCAGTAATCCCAATTGACGTCAACACTTGAAAAAAACGCAGGAAACTGAAGGAAATAGTTCCAGCTCTTGGTTTGCTATAACCTGCTCTTTCAAAGGCCTGGGGTATCTTGTTCCTTCTCTGAGAGGGGAAGGAAGGTAATTTCGGAAGCAGGATGCTGATATACTTTAGGAAGCTACTAGAGGTCACTGGCACCTCTCTGGTTTAATAAGGTACACCTATGCATATAAGCAGGAGAAAAGGCATCCTTGAGGAGAAACCTGGGTTTCCATGCCACACTGAAAATTGCAGGGCAAGTTAGTAACTAAACCCATTACAGCTGGAGCTAACCTGTCAGGGTTCTGCTTGTCTTTCTTTTCACTTTAACCTGGAGCAATTTGCATCCAAAAAAACAGAGGGAGAGGGGAAAAATGCTCAAAGAAAGGAAGAAACGTCCTTTTCTTTGAGGTCGTGCTGCCGGTGCCTTCATGAAAGGCTTGAGCAGGCCATATAATTTGTTGTTGGTTTTTTTGTTTGTTTTTTTCCAGCAACAGAGACATCAATGGTTTAAAGAACGGGGGAGCTTACATGTCTGAAGCAAGGTCCTGGAGTGACACCTCACCGGATACTGCGGACTGCAGGCAGGATGCGACAACAGACTTCGCTCTGGGGAAGGGCGTGCAGGGAGGGGCCGGTGAAGGGTGTGTTGGGAGAGGTTAACAGTTATAGGGGAATTGACGTCAGGCCGGCTCATTAGTTACCAGGGAAACCAGTAGAGGGGCCTGCCCCTCACAACCCCTTTGCTGATAACAATCACCAGCTGGGGCCTGGGGCAAGGACATAGGAAGGTCAGTCAGTACCCTGCATAGGGTGTAGGTGAAGCAGGCCCTGGTCTGGCAGCGGATGTACACAGAGCAAGGGAACAGCCATCTTGAGTGGCCTGACCATACATTCCACACCTACATACCCTGCAGAACCCTTACAATCTTGGTCCACAGCTTTTCCGAGATATCTTTGGGCCAGGCCGTATACTTTGGCGTGTTGCATCCTCAGGCTAAAACTTCTGTAGCTAGGATCCCATGGTGAAAAGTTAAGCTGTGAATCGGAAGAAAGTATTCACAACACCTTTCACCAGCAAAGGATGAGTGGCCAGAATACATGAAGAATTCCAAGGAAGCAATGAGAAACAAGGCAAGCTAATTTTAGAAAGTGGCAAAAGGTTAATTTGTCCCTTTGGAGAAAGAAAGGAGGCGAGCTTGGCCCGGGCCTGCTGGAAGAGGCTGGTAGGCATAGGCGGAGAGCTAAGCATCTGTGCCAAGGCCCAATGCCACAGAACTGGAGGGTCGCCACGCCAAAACTTGGCGATCACATTGGAGATGCGGCTCCCTGCAGGAGGACAGACCAGAGCTGGCCCCCAGGGGGTCCTCCTGATTCCCAGCCCACTCCCTTTCTCCAGGCCACTATGGTAGCAACACTCTGAACAAAATCTGTATGACGATAAACCGGGCAGTGCTAGTGTAGACGTGGCTTGGCCTGGTTCCTGACTCAAATAATCTGACTCCATCAACTTTAGGAATTCTACTCACTCAGTTCCCTAATAGTTAATGTTAGATGAAAACATTCCAGGAGTCAGAACTCAGTGCTGTAAACCTCCTGAGATTTGAAGCAGAGAGAACTGGATCTGAGACCTGATTTATCAAACCACCTAATCTTGAGATACGGGTCCCAAACACCCAAAAGGTTATGGGAGAAGTATAAAAGGTAATGCAAAAAAAAAAAAAAAAACCCAAAAAAACCCCCAAAACAACAGCCTTCTTAAATCACCAACACTCATTTTCCAGAGATAAAACTTTATTTGAGGCATCAAGCAATATACTGAAAGAGGTGAGTCATGCACAAGTGATGTCCTTATTCCCATAATCGTACATCTGATACTCTCTGTCCTCGTAAAAGGGGTGTGTAGTGCGCAAGATGAGAAGCACATAGCTTTCAGACAAAATCATATCTCTGTGAGCACTTAAGAAAGTCTCCTTTAAATTCTGTTGTTCCTTCTTTAAAAGGCACGTGGGTTTTATTTCAGAAAACTACAACAAACCACTTCTTTCACTGAGGAGGAAGTTTCTCCCCAGAGTTATTTATGAAATAATGCAGCTGCCTTTTTCTTTAAAGGGATTCTTGTCTTCTGGAATTCCTTTCACCAGAGGATCTTCTCCAGAACGTTCTTCAATATAGTTCTTTATTTCTTCAGAACATTTAGACACCTTAAGGAGAAAAAGAAAGGAAAGAAAGAATGAATCAGGTCAGGATTGTTCAAACTTTGTCACCACCCTTCAGTGAAATTAATATAATTGGGTACAACCAGAAGTTTTTAAATGAAATAGAATAGAATAAAAATATTAGAGTACAGCACAGAGCCTATATAATATATATGAATGATACAGTCTATGTAAAATATATTTCTTACTATGGTCAGGGTCAAAGAAGTTTGAAAGTCACTGTATTAAAAAAATTACCTCCAAATGGACTTGAGGACACGGGGAGGGGGAAGGGTAAACTGGGACCAAGTGAGAGAGTGGCATGGACATATATACACACCAAATGTAAAATAGATAGCTAGTGGGAAGCAGCCGCATAGCACAGGGAGATCAGCTTGGTGCTTTGTGTCCACCTAGAGGGGTGGGATAGGGAGGGTGGGAGGGAGACACAAGAGGGAGGAGATATGGGGATATATGTATATGTATAGCTGATTCACTTTGTTATACAGCAGAAACTAACACACCATTGTAAAGCAATTATACTCCTATAAAGCTGCTAAAAGAAAAAAAATTACCTCCAACATTTTCTATCCACTATGCCTCATGATTTCCTTCCTCTGCTGAAATGCAATTATGACGTGTCCACCATATTTTAGGAACTGAAACATACTCCACTTTCAATTTTGCATGCTAATGAACAGATGCAATAGTAGGTACTCCCCAAATGTTTTGGGGTGTGACCTGTGAAAAGTCTCACTTATTGGGTATGTGGCAGGTTCTGCAATTTCATAAAATGATAGAAGCATTGGAGAAAGTCTGACTCCGGAGAAGCTAATGTTGTCCAAAAGTCACCCCCATCCCCACCCCATGTTTCGGCTCAGAACTGATCATAAGAAAAGACTTATCGGAGGCTTAGTGGACTTTTCTGAGGCTTGTGTTTATGTAGGTAGTTTAAACTTTTTCTGAATGGAGGAAGGATTGAATAGTTTCTTCAAAAACTCCATTCAAAAGAGACAGTTTGTAAGACTGATTTTAAAAAAAGGGAGGGGAATAAACGAAAAAAAAAAAAGGATTACTGTCTTAATGAAGGCCTGCATTACTAGTAAGAAATTAGAAGTAAAAATTATAGAAGTTCCAGAAAATTCCAGTGGAGTCCTCTTAAAACTAGGCAAATGTTCCCATTGATTTTGTCATCTAGATTAGTAATCTTCAAACTGTTTTAATGTTGATCACTAAAAAATGTTTGCATATGTATCCCAAAATGTACATAATTATTTACTTATAACTAAGTGCAGTTACTACTGTGTTAATACATCATGTATAATCATAAAATATAAACTAGAAATTATTAAAAGATGAGATTCTAAACTAGCCAAAAAATATCATTTTGCAATATATACACATATCAAATCACTATGTTATATGTCTAAAATTAACATAATGTTCATGTCTATTATACCACAACTAAAATTTTTTAAAAATAAAAAATTTAGTGTTTTACTCCCACACCTCAAAGATTCTTGGCACGTCAGGGTGGAGGCCTAGGTGATACAGTTAAAATAAAATCTTTACAAATCTTTACAAGTACCATTCTCTCAGGTAACATTTGCTGTCAATCATTGCTGACATTCATTGTGTGGCCATTTTAAGTGAATTCTCAGAGGTGATGATGTAAGTGTCCATAAGCTGGGCTCTGTGGCCACAGAGAAATTTGTGGATACGACTCATGTTTCCCCAAATTGTATCTGTTCTTAGAGAGGCTTCTTCATTAGGTTTCCAAAAAGATGTGTAACCTCCAGAAGTGAATAATGACTTCTCTGATGCATTTCCTTCCACAGTCAAGAGGATATGTTTGAACAACAGCTAGCTAGAGCCAGAATTCAGCCTGTGAATTTTGTATCCTTGGCCTGAGCAGAGTACACAGCTCAGAAGTGAACAATTTATTGACAGAATAGTGGACTGGGCATCAAGAAGATATGTGTTTTAGTGTTTTAATAACTGCTCTATCATTATCTCTGGGGTCTTAAATAAAAGGCTGGTTAGCCTCCTAAGGATTCACGTTTTTTAATCCTTAAAAGTGAGTGGGTTGAATGATCTCTAAGAGCCATAATGTTTTTCTAGCACTAACACTCTATAATTCAAAGTGCATAATAAAATGCTGGAATCTTATTATTAGGACATAGATGCCTCTCCCTCTACCCTCTAAGGTTATCCCTGAAGTTTTCTCTCCCTCTGGCACAGACTTGGGGTTTCTGGAACTGGAAAGCCAATCCAGCAGGGTGTGTCCTAAGGAGTGGAGGGAGCTGGCAGGGAGGAAAGGCTAATGAATGATACCTTTAACTTCCACACAGTCAGCTGCATCCAGGCCCCTGCCCAATTTCTAATTTGAAGCTTGATAACTGGAAGACACTTGTCTCTTTTTTTCCCTATAAGTTCTGCATAGTGATACCAAATATTAAGATATTTCAACTTGGCACAGACAATGCTTTACTTCAATATCTGCAACTCTGTTTAATTTGTAATCTCTGAGGTTCAATGCGTGAAAAAAATCCAAGTGATCAACAGATGCCAAACTGTGGGCTTTGCCATCCATAAAATGGATGCCTTAAAGTTTCAAGAAACAATCCTATTCACTGGGTCCTGTAACTTTGGTTTTTCCTTTAAACACAGCAGTATTTTTAAAGCCACAGAAACTTTCAACATGTACAAAAAGGACTTTGAACTTCAAAATCCTGGAAGACTAGGGATTTGGAAGTTACAGATTAAATTTGAGAAAAGAAATGTATAAAGAGTAAAACACAAAAAAGCCTGCACATTCCAAACATCACTCAAAATGTGCCTTCTGAGTAACAAGACTCTTGTTATGAACAGATTTACCATAACTAGAGCAGGAAGGTAAGTGAATGTATTAACCATACCTACTTCCATTTTTTTCCTTACCTTTTCCTAGTGTTAGACCATAGAGAAATAAAATCAGTTTAAATTTTTCTTGCTGGGGAGAAGGGACTATGTTTCTTGTTGGGGAGAAAGGACTATTTTTCCCTTAAAAATTTATCTATCCAAAAACCTATTCCTGGACTACAGGTTGCCTGATTGAGGAAAAAGGGAAGAAACGAAGGCCTGTATTCCCGGTAAAAACTTAAAGTAAAAATTACAAAGTCTCCAAAAAACTTCAGTGGAGACTTCTGAACACTGGGACATATGTTCTAACAGAATTTGTAATCCACTTCAGTGGGCTCTAAAATTTCTAATCATGATCACGAAAAAGAATTTTTGTATGCAGTATAATTGTTTATAAATAAATACAGATATACTACTGTATAGGTATTAGTTCATTGCACATACTTACAAAACATAAAGTGGAAATTATAAAGGGATAAGATTTACAAATAAATAAAGATAGATACTGTAATGTTTTGCTCCCAAGCCCCAGTGGACTGTTCATCACACACTTCCTAGAGAGCCCTGATGAAACTCAAAACTAGGTAATTCAAGACTTACATTGTGATTTTTTTTTTAAACCTTTTAAATACTGTTCTTTCCCATTATGAAAAAGATCAAGGAACTAAGTAGCCATCTGC